GTTTTTTATATGCATGAAACGATTTCTTGATGATTCTATTCCATTGGTCTCTTTTAAAATAGAAGAGTCCTTGTGCCAATATCACGTCTGAAGTTGTCTAGTTAATAGGATTAACTATCTAGTAATGCAAATTCCTCACCTCCTTCTTTTATAGGAATATTTTGAATATCCATGATCTTTATTCTTTAAGATTTTAAATTAGCTTGTCAGATTATTATGAAACAACATCAGAATTTTTACTGAAATAGTCTCTATAAATTTATTAATGAAAAAACTGCTTTCTCAATAATATGAACTCTTTCTATTTCATTGATGCTCAAAACAGTTAATAAGCATTGGAGCATACACATCAACCTATCTATTGATGTCAGAACAATCAGGGTTAATATTGCCTATGAGAAACCAGCATGGCCATCAAAAGGCATACTGATGAGTATCATCCCAGTTCCTGTCTATAGTTAAGGTAAACTATTGGAGTCCTTGAAAATAATTTTTGTGCTTGAATATGATTACTCATATCTTTGTACTGATTTTCAATTTAAAAACCCAATCTCTAATTTTGTAGCTATATCTTATACATATGATTCTATTTATGTATCCAGTAATGTTAATCTAAAGCTTTCGATTAATGTGGGACTCCTTCTATAAATTTATCCAAATTCATAGAAGCGTTCTAAGTACATATATAAAGTTCAGTGTATTTAAGTAATCTTAATGTAAAATTTAACGATAAAAAATGCTGAGTACTTAATTCTTATAAATCTAACAAATATAATCATTTTAATCCTTTTATATGCTTCACGGTTATGTATACCATTTCAAATTCAAATGACTAAACTGACTACTCAATAATACAATTGGATTAGAATCATAATGTTGACCTGATACCCTGATAGAACAGATTTTTAAAATGTCACAAATATATAAAATACCAAATATATAGTTCTCCACATCCTCTCCAGCATCTGCTGTCTCCAGATTTTTTAATGTTCGCCATTCTTACCGGTGTGAGATGGTATCTCAATGTAGTTTTGATTT